AGGGGGGCATGTTTTATCTTTCATAACCAGGCATTAATAAATTAATAAGTGATGAAATCTTTAGAGCGAGATCAGTCCTTCAAAGATTCTGTTGTGGCACTAACACGTGCAGTACTGGTTACCCCCAACCCAAATCACAGCTCCCCAACAGTCCTTAAAGTTGGGAAGAATTTTCTTTTTGTTAATTTTAGATCTTTAGCTCCAAAAGAAAACAGCTCTTTCCCTCTCCCTCTCCCTCTCTATCCCTTTTGCTCTTGGTTTGCTGTTTAGTGTTTTCCACTGAAACACTTGCAGTAATGTGAGGAATATTCTGAGTTCCTGGACTCTGGAATGCCCTCACTCACCTCCCCCACCCCTAAACACTGCCTCTTCCTGAAATCAATCACATCATATCCCAAGAGTACAGAGATTCTCCTATGTTAAGCTGTGTCCCCACCAACTCCAGGCAACTCAGAGAGGAAAGCTTGGGTTTCTTTTCCCTTATGACTCAAAAGAATTAATCCTGGGATCCTGGGACATATAATCAGTTACCATTTTTCACAGGAAGCTTTGGGGGCCTCTTAAAAAAAAAGTAAGATTCCAGTTGGTCTGCACTGGTATCTCAGAGCTCCCAAGGAGCAGGGAAGATTAGGCCCCTATGTCAAACCCACACAACATATGGTACTTTTAATACATAAAGACAAATATGGCAGGGAGGAGACAGCCATAAAAATGTGTCTCACAGACCTTCAAGGACAGGAAACAACTGCCAAAGGCCCAGCTGCTGTCTCTGAGACCCTCTGATGCATTTGCTGAGACCACATTTTTAAGAGCCATGGCGAGCTACAGCTGCTAACCAAAAGGTTGGCAGTTCAAGTCCACCAGCTGCTCCTTGGAAACTCTATGGTGCAGTTCTACCCTGTCCTATAGCGTTGCTGTAAGTCAGAATCAACTTGACGGCAACGGGTTTGGGTTTTGTTTTTTTTATTCCCAACCAAAGACCGAGTTCAGGCTGGTTCTGGGAGATGAAGACTTGGCTGGAAGACTCCTGATGGGCCTGCAGAGTCTTCGACAGACTGCCGTGGTATACGGTAGGCATGGCCATCCAACCTCTCCTCCCTCCCTCCCTGGGGCTCAGCCTTGCACAGAGGTCTGATCTCTCCCAGCCTCCTCTGGCTCCCTCCCCTGTTCCTCTCACAGGTGTTCCTCCTAATAAAATGTTTGCTTCTCAGATGACCCACACTAACACATCGGTATTGATAAATTAGCTAAATTTTTATTTTTCTGAAACTAACAACTTTTAAAGGGGTTCTCAGAAAATGGCTAGCCAGGGACTTTGTAATATAGGTCTCAGATACAGTTCCTGCTTTCTTAGTTCCATTTACCCCTCTTTCGAAGAAGCTACTGATAAAAGAAAATGGAGCATTTAAACATATTTATCAAATTAATAGGTTTCCCAATATTAAAAGCTTCTTTAGTTACAAATCCATCCAGTTCTACTGAGGAGGGCAAATGAGGAACTGTCATTTGAAATTAGCTACTTATGAGTCTGTGCCTCAAATCAGACTGTGAGCTTCTGGAGGATTGAGACCCTATGTCATTCATTTTGTTACTGAGTAATGGGTTCCTAGCAGGCACTCAATACATGTCTGTTGAAGAGAGGCAAAGTAAAAGAAATCAGGGATGGTCAACCACAGTGAGCTACAGAGATTAGGTGGGGTGGGGGGGTGCTGATCTCTGGGGATACGAAAAAGCGTATTCTATATACCTATTGCCTTCATTAGACAAACCACAGAAAGTAAACTTCACGTTCCATTTTACAAACTATAGAAAGTAAAGTTCAACAAAATTGTCTTGGCTATAGTGGGAATACGTAAAAGATAAAGTGAGAAAGCATTATATGGGAATTGCTTTTAAAATGTTGAGGAACTCTGCACCAACGATACCCTAAAATGGTTATCCTGCCTCTCTAAGAACTGGCGGATATTTACTGTCTAGCTACGGGAGAACAAATTGCAATAATCATGCAGATAAATATGGACTGTGTTTCCTTATACCAGCTGATGTCACTATATTGAAGATTTACCCAAACTTCATTATTTACACATTATCAACAGATATATTTCTTCTTAATAAACAAAAGAAGAATTCCATCTCTTCCTATCATGTCAAGTAAAGGAGTTTCTTTAAAACAAAATATTGATGTATTTAGATGATAGTGTAAAGTTTTCATTTACTAAATAACTTGGTAACAGTAAATGGAAATAGAATAGAAAGAGATGGAGAGCTAGAGCATTATACTCCACAATTTCTGAATACTTGATTATAAAAACCGGGCAATTTATTTCACCAACTGCTGGCATATTTGTGATGAAAAAATTCTTACTATAGCAATGAAAACAAGCGTGTTAGTGGAGACTCCAAACAGTGAGGCTTTAATCAGTGATGGATTAAAAAATGGATTAATAAATCTGAATTATACCCTGCCGGTGGGAGAACTTTTGCTGTACATTAATGGATTTAAAACTTAATTTCCCACATTGTTTAAGAAAACACTGGCTTGACTCATATCTTTTAAGTACATTCGGTGAATTTGAGAAGGTGGAAAAATATCTCACATCCCAGAGTTAGAAAAGGTAAAAACATTTTTGTCCCTCCCCTTTTGATTATTACTCCCAGTAACTACTGTGGGTGGGGTGAAATTAAAGAATAATGGTAGCTAAAACAACCTGTGGCAATTTGAAATGATTATTTTCAGGTCTTTCAACAGATAAAATAGTCTAATGAAAGGTTCATGGAAAGCACGTACTATAGAATTGCAAGTTGGCATTAAACTATCTGACACTGTGAAGTCTAATTTTTGCCCTACAAGCCTGTAAAGAAAATAAAAAGCAAGGTTCCTCACATTCCAAACGGTTAACATGTCATTATGCCTATCAGTCAACCAACCAACAGATGTGTACTGAGATGTCTAATAGGTTCAGGGCATTATGAAACCTTTTATAATCTTTCAAGAATAAACCCCCAGCACAAGGAACTAATCCTAAAGAATATACTTTATATGAAAAAATTAGAAGAGCAAATAATTCCAAGTCATTAACCAGAAGTAAGGAATATGTGAACATTTTCAGTTGAAGGTTAAGGGAAACAAAAAGGCCTATAATTTTAGATAGTCTGACAAATTTGGTAGCAGGACAGAATAATATTCAATTTTCTAGAATCGATACTTCTGGTTTAATACAGAAAGAAATAAAATTCTGATTATAAAAAATAGCTGGAAAAGGAAATTTTATTTCTTCTCCAACATTAATGTTTCCCTAGTTTGCTGTTAGAAAATGCTCCAGCAAATACAGGACTTCTCCAGCAATTGCTTATAAATTTTTATTATAAATATTTTTGGTAACAAAATATTCAAAGTAAGCAAGTTTCATGCTATAGCATTTCTTTCCTTTCCTTTATTCAAGAAATATTTATTGAGGCTCTATTATCTACCAAATGTAGGACCACGAAATGTTTTATTCTATACACATAAGGCTGCGATGAATCAGAGCTGTCTCAACAGAAACTAACAAAAATACCAAGCACTGTTCTAGTGCTCAGGGTCCGGCACGAACAAAACAAACTAAAATCTCTGCCTGCGCGGGGCTTACATTTTAGGTGAGATAAATTACAAGCAAGAAAATATGTAAAGGTCTAGTATGCATATTCTGCTGTTCTGTTGTCATTCTGCCATAATATTGTCCTTTAGTTCAATGCTACAGGATGATATTTAAACAAAACTGTAACGTGATAAAGGTCAGTTGATATTTCAGATAAGCTCCCTTGGCCAAGTTCTATGGTAGATCTGTTTAAAAAGGATTGCTTTGATATAAACTAGGGATCAGCAAACTTTGTCTGCAGTGGGTCAGGAATTAAGTATTTCAGGCTTTGTAGACCACCTATTGGGTCAATAAACAACATCAGGATAAACAGTGAAAAAACTGAAGTTGTTAACAGCTTCATCCTACCTGGATCAACATTCAATGCCCATGGAAACAGCAGTCAAGAAATCAAACAACATACTGCATTGGGCAAACCCGCTGCAAAAGACCTCTTTAAAATCTTAAAAAGCAAAGCTGTCACTTTGATGACTAAGGTGCGCCTGACACAAGCCATGGTATTTTCAATCGCCTCAGCAATGAAAAAGAAAGACCAAAGTGATGAATACTGAATATACCGTAGACTGCCAGAAGAACAAACCAATCAGTCTTGGAAGAAACAGAGCTAGAATGCTCCTTAGAAGAGAGCAGGTTGAGAACTGGTCTTGCTTACTCTGGACATGTCATCAGGAAAGACCAATCACTAGAAAAGGACATCATGTTTGGTAAAGGGAGGGTCAGCAAAAATGAGGGAAACCCTTAGGGAGATGCCTTGACACAACAATGGACTCTCACATACCAACAATCATGAAGATGGTATAGGACCAAGCAATGTGTTGTTCTATTATACGTAAGACTCCATGAGCTGGAGTCGACTCGACGGCAACTTACAGCAACAGGCGACCTAAAAGTCTGTGTGGCATATTTTTTCATTTTTTAAAAATCCTTTAAAAGCATAAAGCCACTCTTAGCTCACAGGCCATACAAAAACAGTCCAAAGACCACATTTTGCCTGCAGGCCGTATTTGCCAACTCAACAGAAAGACCGAGGATAGCTGCATTTAAGTGGTTATGTACAGTCCTACGTCTCATGTTTCTTCCTTTCTTTTTTTTTAAAAAAAACATTTCTTCTCTCTTTATTATTCACTTACCAAAAGCTAATAAAACATTCTTTTCTAAAGCGACAGTAGTGACAACTACAGCAGCCTCAAAGTCAGCTCTGAAAAGCAGGGCCACCTGCTGCAGTTCACACAAGCAACAGAAGAAAATTCTTGGCAAAAAGCCCTTCTTACTCAATGTACTGAAGAGAGATATGGCAAAGATTTTGCATGCTCTCGACCCACTTCTGGGGCCAGACACATATATGGTCTGGTTTTCTCTTACCTTGCTGGAGGAACATCAATATTTGAAGAAACAACTTTTCGTTTTTGCTCGAGAAGACAGATGGAGCGAGTGTTTTCTTTTTCATGGTCAAGGACTCGGTTGGGTTTTTTGGTGTCTGCTATTTTCACATCTTCCTCCATGGCCAAGGGGAACAAATGTTGATGAGAGATTTTTTTACTAGAGTCACGTTTTAAGTCCTCTGACTGGAACACGAAGGTCGTATCCCGCTTAATGCTCGCTGCCTGTAAAGAGAAATGAAAAAATTCTTACTCATACAAAACACCGACTTAGCACAACTATGTGCAGATGGCTATGAGGAGAGAGATCACAGATACTGTCCTCCCCTGTTCTTCTTGAAGATTTTATACTTTAAATGGGAAAAAAATTTAACACAGAAATAAAATAACTAACATTACAAAGTAATATACAGTTGGTGCATCTGTCATAATGCTAAGAAGCACCACAGACACAAAAGAAGCCGTTCAGTTGTACAAAGACTTCGAAGACTTGAAAGCATAAAGCCTCTAAAAAGAATTTAAAATTTCAAAACATTTGTTTTCTCCTCTAGAACTGAGAAAACTCAATGAAGTAAACAAACTCGTAAATTTTTCATGCTGGTTATGTTTAAAACAAGAGAGCTCAAAAAAGATTATACAGGAAGTCCTCGAATAATAAACAAGATCTGTTCCTAAGTCTGTCATTAAGTCGAATCTGTAGGTAAGTCAGAACAGGTACATACGGTTCTTATTCAGCATCATTTAAGCAAATGTTTGTCTTAGTATATAGTATATATTTTACCTTTTTAAAGGAGCCCTGGTGGCGAAGTGGTTAAGCATTCGGCTGCCAACCAAAAGACTGGCAGTTCAAATCCACCAGCCACTCCTTGGAAACCCTACAGGGCACCTCTGCTCTGTCCTACAGGGTCGCTATGAGATGGAATCGACTCAACGGCAATGAGGATGCACATAAACCACTTAAGAAATGCTTTCCAACCGCACGATGTTTTCATGAGTGTCACAAAGTAGTGTGTGCTTTCATTATAACAAACCATTCTATGTATTTAACTCAAAATTTTAATATAATAGGCTTTATAGCAGTTTGTTTTTTAGTACAAGTTGTCAGTAGGTCGGACATTTGTAACCTGGGGTTGCCTGTATATACAACCAAGCCTCATCTTTGACTATTAATATAGATCACACCCACATTCTCTCTAGATCATGAAGAACTGATTTTTATCCGCTACCTACGTCAGTTCAGGTCTTACTATCATTCCCTCTAAAGCCATATGATAAAGAAGTTATACTAATTTTATCATTTTTAACTAAATGCAATGACAATTAAGGTTTATGACAAATATAAAATTAAATCAGATTGCACTGAATCCTATTACTTTGGTATTTGTGACAACTGAAAAGGAAATTGAAGTTAAAGTTTTTGGAAAGTAATTGGTACTGTAAATGAGATTTGTAGAAAACTATTTACACCTACTCCTCACTTTTTACCTTTCTAGTTATCCATTTCACATTTACCACAATGTTAAAAAATCTACTATCGGAGAAGAGCTCATGCCAGTACTACTCAAACTATTTCAGAGCACAGAAAAGGAAGGAATACTCCCAAATTCATTCTATGAAGCCAGCATAACCCTGATACAAAAGCCAGGCAAAAACACCACGAAAACAAAGAACAATATATTTCATGAATATAAATGCAAAAATTCTCAACAAAATTCTAGACAATAGAGTTCAGCATCATATCAAAAAAAAAATAATAATAATAATACACCATGACCCAGTAGGGTTCATGCCAGGTATGCAAGGATGGTTCAACATTAGAAAATTAATCAACGTAACGCATCACATAAACAGAACAAACGAAAAGAATCATATGATCATCTCAATCAATGCAGAAAAGGCATTTGATAAAGTCCAACACCCATTCCTGACAAAAGCTCTCAGCAAACTAGGAATAGAAGGGAAATTTCTCAACAAAATAAAGGCCATCTATACAAAACCAACAGCCAACATCATTCTCAATGGAAAGAGGCTGAAAGCATTCCGCCTGAGAATTGGAACAAGACAAAGATGCTCTTTATCACCACTCCTATTTATTATTGTGTTGTAACTCCTAGCTAGAGTAATAAGGCAAGAAAAAGAAATAAAGGGCATCCAAATTGGAAAGGAAGAAGCAAAACTATCTCTATTTGCAGATGATATGATCCTATACATAGAGAACCCAAAAGATTCCACAAAAAAACTACTGGAACTAATAGAAAGATTAAGCAAAGTAGCAGGATAAAAGATCAACATACAAAAATCAGTTGGATTCCTACACACCAACAAAGAGAACCTCAAAAAGGAAGTCAAGAATACCATTTAATAGCCCCTAAAAAAATAAAACACTTAGGAATAAATCTAACCAGGGATGTAAAACACCTATACGAAGAAAACACTACTGCAAGAAACCAGAAGAGACCTACATAAATAGAAAAACATACCATGCTCATGGACAGGAAGACTCGACATTGTGAAAATGTCAATTCTACCCATAGCAATCTACAAATACAATGAAATCCTGATCCAAATACCAACAGCATTCTTTAATGAGATGGAAAAACTAATCACTAACTTTATATGGAAAGGAAAGAAGGATAAGTAAAGCATTATTGAAAAAGAGGAACAAAGTATGAGGCTTCACACTACCTGATCTCAGAACCTATTATACAGCCACGGTAGTCAAAACAGCCTGGTACTGGTACAACCACAGATACACAGACCAATGGAACAGAAATGAGAACCCAGACATAAATCCATTCACCTACAGTCTGCTGATCTTTGACAAAGGCCCAAAGCTCATTAAATGGGGAAAAGATACTCTATTTAACAAATGGCGCTGGCAAAACTAAATGTCCATTGGTAAAAAAATGAAACAAGACCCATACCTCACACCATAGACTAAAACTAATTCAAAATGGATCAAAGACCTAAATATAAAACCTAAAACTATAAAGACCATGGAAGAAAAAATAAGTACAACACTAGGTGCCCTAATACATGGCATAAATAGGATACAAACCATAACTAACAATGCACAAACACCAGAAGATAAACTTGACAAATGGGATCTCCTAAAAATTAAACACTTATGCTCATCAAAAGACTTCACCAAAAGAGTAAAAACAGAACCTACAGACTGGGAAAAAATTTTTGGCTACAACATATCCAGCAAGGGTCTAATGTCTAAAATCTATAACATACTGCAACACTGCAACAATAAAAAGACAAATAACCTAATTTAAAAATGGGCAAAGGAAATGAACAGACATTTCGCCAAAGAACACATTTAGGTGGCTAACAGACACATGAGGAAATGCTCATGATGACTACCACTGGAGAAATGCAAATCAAAATTACAATGAGATACCATCTCACCCTGACATTACTGGCACTAATCAAAAAAACAGAAAATAGCAAATGTTGGAGAGGTTGTGGGGAGATCGGAACTCTTACGCACCACTGGTGGGATTGTAAAACGGTACAACTACTATGGAAAACAATATGGCGCTTCCTTAAAGAGCTAGAAACTGAAATACCATGTGATCTAGCAATCCCACTCCTAAGAATATATCCTACAGAAATAAGGGCTATCATACAAATAGACATATGCACACTTATTTTCATTGCATCATTATTCACAATAGCAAAAATATGGAAACAACTTAAGTGCCCATCAACAGATGAATGGATAAACAAACTATGGTACATATACACAATGGAATACTACGCAATGATAAAGAACAATGACGAACCTGTGAAACATCTCACATGGATGAATCTGGAGGGCGTTATGCTGAGTGAAATAAGTCAATTACAAAAGGACAAACACTGAATGAAACAACTATTATAAAAACTCAAGAAAAGGTTTACATACAGAAAGAAACAATCTTTTTGGCTGTGAGAGAGAGGAGTTGTGGGGAGGGAAAATCACTAACTAGATAGTAGATAAGTGGTAACTTTGGTGAAGAGAAAGATAGTACATATTATAGGGAAAGTCAGCACAATGTGACCAAGGCAAAGCCATAGAAACTTCCTAGACACATCCAGACACCTTCAGGGACCGAGTTACTGGGCTAAGGGCTGGGAACCATGGTTTCGGAGGACATCTAGGTCAGCTGGCATGACATAATTCATAAAGAAAATGTTCGACATCTGACTTTGGTGAGTAGTATCTAAGGTCTTAAAAGCTTGCAATAGGCCATCTAAGATAGATCTATTGGTCCCATCCCGTCCGGAGCAAAAGAGAACAAAGAAAACTAAAGCCACAAGGAAAATATCAGTCCATAGGCCTAACAGACGACATGAACCACAGCCTCCACCAGCCTGAGCCCAGAAGAACTAGGTGGTGCCTGGCTACCACCACCGACCACTCTGAGAGGGATCACAATAGAGGGTCCCAGACAGGGCACAGAAAATGTAGAACCAAATTTAAATTCACAAAAAGAGACCAGACTTACTAGTCTGACAGGAACTGGAGGAACCCCAAGACTATGGCCCCCAGACACCCTTTTAACTCAGAACTGAAGTCACTCCCAAAGTTCACCCTTCAACCAAAGGTTAAACAGTTCTATAAAACAATAACATACGTGAGGAAAGTGTTTCTTAGTTAAATCAAGTATACGAGACCTAATGGGCAACACCTGCCCAAAAGCAAAGAGGAGAAGGACAAGAAAACGGGAGGAATGGAAACGTGGAACCCAGGGTGGAGAAGAGGTGAGTGTTGACACATCATGGGATTGCAACCTATGTCACAAAACAATTTCTGTATATACATTGTTGAATGAGAAACTAATTTCCTCTGTAAACTTTCACCTAAAGCACAATAAAAATGAAAAAGAAATCGAATATCCCACTATTTTTCACATGAACCAGGTGGCAGGTGTGGCAGCAACAGCTGCGGGGCATCCCCTCCCTCGGGGAGGGACTCCAGGCGGCCTCCGGGATGCCGGGCCGTGCTGCCCGCTGCTCCCTCCTGCTGGCGGGGGCACATCCAGCTGCAGCTCAGAGCAGGCCTCCTCCGGGGCCATGGCCTCTGGGCCGACACACAGGTAGCACCGAGCCAGTGGGTGCCTGTTCTGGGTTCCCAGCATCTACGGCAGCCTGAGGCCCTGCAGCTCAAAACTGCTGTGTGCTGTGAAGGGAAGAAAGAGGAGGCAGCGGAGAGGGTGCTTGGAAGAAATGCGTGC